AAAGAGCAGGTAACAAAGGAAGCTGCTTTGAAAGAAAGACCATGGCATTATGTTATCCTTTTCATCTGCCTCTTTTCTGTAGCCTTCACTTATCTTATTTCAGCCTGTCAGAGGCGTTGTCCAGTCCTACCAGTGATACGGACTCAGTCTGGCCCACAGGAGTTGCAGCTTGGTAGTTTAATATCTTAGAGAATTAGTAACATGTGGCTGAAATACTACCGCAAATTCGGACAATAATATCTGACTTTGAAAAGTGTGACCATCTGGAATTTAAAGAGATAGGAAAATGAAGATTGTGTGGAGAAAAGGAGAAAAAGGGGAAAGGACTTGATGCAAAGGAAAACAAATTAAAATGGATTCATTGTTTAGTTTTGCTCAATAAAAAACACAGTCCAAAACAACAATAAAATATTCATGTCTTGGTAATTCTACCAGTTTATGATATAAAACTAATGGAGTTGTACCTCAGACCTCTTTTTCACATTTAGCTTTCGAGCCGGGCTGTTTTTTCCTTCCTCTTTCCAAAGCAAATGTCAGACACAGTCGTCTCTTGGGGGTTTAATGCTATTTGTTTGTTGCCTTTCCACTCTCTCTCTCACACACACACCCACTCATCTCAAGGTGTCTCCTCTCTCATGCTCGGCTCTTAAAGGCACCGCACATCAATATTTTATCACTGCAATGACACAAAGCTAAATCCTTTAGCTCAATGCAAGCATTAAGTTGTTGTAAAAAAACGGCTGCAGGAAGAGTTTAATGAGCCCATGTTGGGAATCAGCTTATTTTATATTCAATTGAGTAGCTTTCGAGTGTGAGAGGGGAGTAATTGCTGTGCAATTTCCAACCCTAATGGGTAAATTGCAAGGTATAAAAAAGGGCTTGTTGTTGCGCCATTCACACCGGTAATTACGACAAGTGGTTCAACGTGAAGTGATAAAAGGACACACAGGGGAAAGTTATCGGAGATTGATTCATCTTGTTGAGCTCTGTCAGTCAGGAGGGTGTTCTCAGCCGTCTCTTTGAACAAAGGGGCGGGCGGTGATAGCATCGTCCTCATGTTATCCCTCCGCTTTGAGACCTTTATCAGATGTGTCACATCACCGTACCGAATGATATCAGATGGATTGTCCAACAACGCATCAATAAAGCGTCAGGGTACGCATCGGTTTGGTGAGCATGCACGTTTCAGACTACCCCTCTTGTTTCAGACGGTGTAGATTGTTGTGGTTTATCTCGTTTTTTTATTATGATGCTTCCATTTTGCATGCGATACGCTCATTTTACACATTTATTGCGCTAAGTTGGACTCATTGCAATTACACGTTTTGCCCAGTTCCATTAGACATGAAAGCCCTCCCCGTCTCTCACTTTTTAATGAGATTTGGAGTGTGTGTGTCACCCCACTGTGAAGCCATCGGTGACAGGCAAGAGGACAAAAGGAGGCCTGATGCTCGGGTTTAGGGAAATACCCCCCTCCTAACCCGCACACACACCGCTAGCTCCCATCTGGTGGTGGGCATAAAGAGGCGAGGCTGAACAAGGAGCTATTGGGATTCACACATGCATGTGCACACACACAGACACACACACACACACACACTTCAATCCAGGTGCCTTTGCTGCATTAAATGCCTCCCTCCCTTTCGCCCCATGTTCCTAATGTTATTATCATCTACCTAACGAGATTTCTTCTTCCAAATATCTACATGTCCACAGGCAGACATGTTTGCTGTGAAAGAGAAAATAAAGCTTAATAAATGCTTGTTGGTATCGAAACCAAAAGTAATAATCATTTAGAATGTTTTTTTTTCTTAGTGCTTTGCTGAAAGAAGGAGCTGTGAGTTTTTTCTGTATGTAGTCCTCTGTTGTATTCCAAAAAATAGACAAATTTGTGATCAAATCCTTGTGTGTGTGCGTGTGCGTATGTGATCTTTAAGAAGGCCTGATGAAGTCGAGTTTGTGACTTTTTATCATGGGAGCAGCTCGCCCCAGAGGCTCCCCCCTCAACAAACTCGTGACGCACTTCCTGACAAGGCGGTGGGGCGATGCGGATGAGCAGCAGAGGAGGAGGTGGGGGGGGCGTGTGGTGGCGATGGTTAGGATCAGCTAAATATACACCAGCTGTGGAGATGTACTGAATGCTTCCATGTGCAACCAATCATGCTTCCCGACTCGTGCAGGAGGAGGATGATCCTGTTGCTGTATCCCATGCCAACCGGCGGCGATCCAGAGCCTGTTATGATGGGGGGGGGGGGAGGTGGGAGGGTTGTTACGAAGCATTCTTATGGAAGTGCAACATATAGATCGGGATAATTTTAGGTCTTGAATACCATGCTACCCTGCTGCACATCTGTGCACTGCTCAGAGTGCACGCAGCGATCCTTGGTTAGAGCACCACGGACTGCTCACGTGTGCATGTGTGTGACTGCAGTAAGCAGGGGAGGCAGCATTTTATTAACCCAAAACAAATACATCTCTCTGTTTGCTGTAATTTTAATGAAGGTTCATAAAAAAGGCTAATGAATGATTCAGAAATTGTTTAATCATTTATGAGGTTAATTAAATGAGAGAGTAATGCAGCAGCAAAAGCTTTGTTCATGATACAACGAGGAGAAGAATTTATATCATTCATTCTAGTCTATAACCTCCACATCTAAAGACATTTGCCGTCAACCCTTGACTCGCTCAGATGTGCTGGAGGCCCATTGTGCAAATCAGGACCTTATTTATGAGCACGAGAGGCTCTCAGGGGTCCAAGCACCACATGAGCACAGCCTCCGAGTCATTAAAGAGTGATTTTGGCATCTACTTCCAGCGCTCACAACCCCGCCTCTCCTCCCTTGAGACTGTAGTAGCACCTGCCCCCCTCCCACATCCGAAATACCATTTAAGATGCACAACGTATGCGCACGCGTTCCCTCAATTTAGTATCTGTGCTGTCAGGCGCACACGCCCACAAAAACTATATTTATATACACGATGCAGATGAAAAGTTGAAACCCAAGAGAAGGTTTAAAGAGTCGCGGGAGGACGTGTTTCAGTACGTAGACTTCCATCAATGAGCCAGACACAGGGGCTGATGTTACCAGGATTTTTCATTTTTTGTACCTCTTCTGCGGGGAGAGGAAGTGGCAGGTTGTGTGAAATAGACAGATTGATTGTCACAAAAGGTCATGGGTCACCTCCCTCACTTGCCCCGGGACGGGATGACGGTTCTGGCTGGTTGACTGTGAGAAAATAACATTCAGGGGTGACTGGTGACGCGTTTATTGAGCCTGTCAAATTAACAAACACAATGGGATGAGCCTGAACAAGATTCACTATAACACACACACACACACACACACACACACGGACAGAGCATGCTTGTAATATCCCTTGATCCAGAAGTTGTGCATCAATCACACGCTGATCTCTGTGTCACCTTGGGCTTTTCAGAGCTCCTGCAGAGTGGTTTGACGTCAGTGATGTTATGAAAGAGAATGTGGTCTGAATTTCACTTTTTCTCATCGGTGCAGCAACCAATACAAAATGACCTTTAAGATAAACATGCAGGTTCGTCTGCACAGAGGAAGATCAGGTACACAGACACTCACATGAACTTTAAAGGGATTACTTTAGCAGTGTTGGACTGTCATCGATCTTCATTTCACCTTCATGGCCATATGGTCAATATTTACATCACCATTTTTATATCTATGGTCGTTTTTGATTTAATTAAAGATTATTCTAGTGACTTTTAACGTTTATATGTAGGTTACAGCAATGCATTTGACGTCAGTGGAGCACCCATTAATCTAAAGTTAACATGAGACGATGTATCTCCGGTCTCCGGTGTGCTGCTTTGCTTTCTCGTACAGTATCTCCACCGATGATGGTCTGGTAGAACTGTGCTGACGCTTTGTCGGCTGAGGTGGGGATCAGCACCTAAATCAAAATAACACCTTCGAACGGCTGGATAAGTGCTCCTCCTCCCTCTCGGCTGCATTAAGAGGTTAGAACAGTCGATAGGCGCGGCAGAACGCTGGGGACCGAGCCTATTGATTTCCCCGACGTGGAAGGCGGGCAGCCATTAACTGAGCTCTTCCTGTGGCCTTGGAGGAGCAGCTCCTCTACTGGGAACACGACTGACGGTGTTTCACCCTCTGAAGTTCTTTCAACACCACTACATGAATGTTACTGTGTGCTGCAGTGAGTGACGGTTCATGGTGCGGTGTGATTCTCTGTCTTGTCACAGTACATGTAATTGTCACAGTGTTTGCCTCGGTTGTGTTTATTTGTTCCCATTCTGCATCTTTGTCCTATACCTGATTCTACCTGATACACAATTTGATCATTCTGTAGCTTCTGTTTTTTTAATATTCTGACTTCAGGAAGTTGCTTTGGCACTCAGTTCTCATTAATATCATTGAAACATCCTCCATAGAGGTGGCACAGTACTCTGATTTATCTGTGATGTTTACCAGGCAATGCGGGGCAACACTATCTTAATGTGCTCTAAACTATAGTACAGAAATCGGTGATGAGAAACAACACATTCATGTGATAATGCAAGTAGAAGTGGTTCAGTTATATCCACACTTTTCATTTTCATGGTTGACTTCTTTGGACTTTTCACCAATAATTATTGTTCAGCAACAATTATTCAGCTGATTACCAACAAGTAACTACAGACAAAGGCCGTAGTTTCTGTCTAAATCTGCCTGCCTGAAATCCTCACCGAGCCGTTTCCAAACATCAAATCCCTGAGACGCTGCAGCTCACAAGGAGGCTCGTTCTCACTGCCCTAATACCCATTTATGTCTCTTTTAAGATAGTAAGAGCATCAATAAATATTGTGGGAGCAGTTGTATTTTTCAGTTATTGTGCATCAGTTTTTGCAATAACTTGCATTGTTTTTATTGTGAATACGTTGTGGAAAGTGAGGCAATGTTCAAGCTAAGAAATTGCTGAATGAAAAGTTCTTCTACTGTGTCCAACACAAACACAACACACTTATATGCTTGTTTTTTTTTTTTTATCAAAAATGATATAGAGTATTTCATTTCGACACCAACAAATCTCTCAATTTACACAGCAACAGAAGGCATAGAATCACACTGTAACTTCAGAGGCACAGAAACAGGAAACTTTTAACTACTTTTGGTTGCACATTTCTCATTTTTGAAAATGTACAATCGCCTTCATCCTTAATGTGGATGAATATTGTGAGAATAGAATCAGGGTTGAACAGCTGGAGAGGGGTAGTGCACATGGTTAAGTAGGACGCAAGTGTCCAGCCACCATATGAGGAACATTGGATTGGGGGGGTGAATCACAGCACACACTGAAAACAGAGACAGAAACATGAAGAAGAGCGTCCGCCTCTCAGGCAGAGCTCTTTTTATCATTCTCATCTGGTGAGCAGCCCGGGCACAAACTCTTCCTTGTTGGCAAAGACGTTTGTGTTGGACTCTATTACTATATTTTTCATACATATATTTTAGTTTTTTCTCTGTTTTTATTCATTGATTTTTCTACATTTGTGATCACAAAAAAACACGACTCTTAAACAAAGGCATAAAAAACATACATAATGACTGTTCATGACGTTTGGACCAGAACTGTTACTATGGATTTATTGCTTCGTACACTGAGTAATGTTTCGGTGCCGCCTGCACTCTGTGGGGTCCAAACGCTGCAGCCTCACTGCTGATGGTCCGTACTCCCTTGAAAAATATTTGACTTCCAGCTAAAACCCAGGTCTTCTCCTCCCCTTTGGTTGATTGTGCAACGAAATTGAAGCATCAGTAACAGTTTCTGAGACAAATAGAAATAAGTTTGAAAGCAAAAGAAACGGACACACCACAAAATGCACTTTGTTTCATGCATAAATACACATCCACACACATCTACATTGTGTCGCGTCTCCACAGACAAATTAAACAAAACTGTCCCCCCGTCAGACTTTGTCATTGTACGCGCAGAATGAGGACAAGAGAGATTCTGTACTGCGTTTGCTTGTTCTTTCTATTCAGCAGCCAGAAACCCTTCTCATTGCCAGACTTTTCTTTTCTCATAATATCTGATATCCTTGATAAATTCTTGATTTTAACATTAAAATTATTCTCTATCCATGTGATCATACAAATATATTTCACATACTTTTTCATTCATTTTTGTCATCTCATTAAACATTATAAGTTTTGCTGACTTTTTGATTCATCTGTACTTTTCCAAACTCATTGCACAAACCCTTTATTTGTTTGCACATATAAATGTAATATCATACATCTTTACTCTATATCTTTATCTCTGCCATATATGTTTCACTTAAATCAAATCACTCAACAATGCACTGGTGCAACTAGACTGACCGTTACAGGGAGTATAATAATGACAATGGCTTTACTCCTGCACCGCGGTGCAGAGATTTAACAGGTCGGGTTCACTCAAATCAAATATACCGAGTCCCGAAGTGGATCACATGTTGCAAACATATTCCTTTTTTTTACATGAAAGTGTAACCAAACGATCATCACAAGTCATTATGCCACTCGAGTCTCTACACAAGCTCACTTACATGTTAAGAACTTTTACACACACAGAAGCCGGTGATAAGAAAACAATAATCATCATATTGTGCATTAAAGGACACTCTGAGTGGGAGAGATACAGTCAAATCTATATCAACAGAGGGTCTAGTTTTTTGTTCTCCACACTGTGGATTGACATATCAATACAATGTAATGGCTGGCTTGTAGGACGTTGTACTGTCACAGTTAAATTGATAAATATGTGGTCGGCACTTTGATGAACAGCTCCTATGTGACCCTACTGGCTTCAGCGTGGTCACAAAGCCTCGGCTGATGGGATGAAAACGTTCACATTTACACAATTGCACTCCAAATGAATATATCTATTACCAATATGCATAATAATACATTTACAAACTGCCAATTTGATATGTATTACACCTCTATTAATCCAATATCTTTGAATTGTGTTTACACAATCTTTACATTTAAGTTGATAGCTTTTTACGTATTTATATTCTTTCTGAATGTGTGCAAATGATACAACAACGGATTTAGGTTTTACTTACTCATTTGTTTATTCTTTTTTGACTAAACTGACACACACTCAGGAAAATAACTCTACTCGTGTGTCGGTGGACGCGGGAGTTCGGGTCTAGGAGTATCCCTCGTCCTGCCTGTATCCGTAGCCCCCCGCTTGAGCTTCTTCCTGGACGTACTCCTCCGTCTTCTCCCAGCCTGAAGCCCAGCCCCCGTTCACCTGCGTGGTGGCACCGTACGACTTCGCCTGACCTCCGAAGGCCCCGTAACCCTGCGTGATGTCGCCCGTCTCTTCCGCCAGCTCGTCCTCGTCTATGAAGCCACACTTCTCGTCGCTGGTCAGTTCTGGGTCGGCCCACGGCTGTTTTTCTCCCGAAGCGAAGATTCCATAGAAGATCACGCCTCCGTAATGCACCATGGAGGCAATCAGGAACACAGACTGCCACTCTTCTCTAGTCTGGAGGGGGAAGCAAACACAAACGCTGTTGCAGGTTGTCACTATCTCTCCAATGTGTGTACATTTGCAGGGGAAATAGTCCCAAACAAATGCAAGATTACCTTCTATTTGTCTGTGTTGGTTTTGTTGAACTGCATTAGTACCATTGAATACTGTGGTGCAGCCATAAATGACACATTGAGTCTTTGAGTGTCGATATTTTACCCCCGTTTCAACATTCACATACTTTTTTCAACATGCACATACATGCACAACGTGCTACCAATCAACGGTCAATATAGGGAAGTGGGGCTCTGAGTCAAGTAAAACATCAGGCCTATTAATCGATCTTATCCGTCACTTTATCTTGAACTCAATTTAATAATGTTGCTTGTGTACTATACGTATGTGTCCCAGAGTCACACATATTGATGAATACATGGATGAACACGTATACCTGCTTACAGCTGCATTTAAGTTTGTCACATTCAATGAATTAAATGTTCACTGTACGTACTGCTATATATGCTAAACTTGGGGACTTTAAGTGTTAATGATTTATTTAAGTCTTTAACACCTTCAATATTTATTGCAATGATAAAACAAGTCGATCTTTGTGTGTTCTTGTTGGAGCCTGAATGCAGAAGATGTTACCTTGTTCTTTGTCATAGTACCAACGATTATTGGGCACACCATCCCAGACAGGGTACCCACACCATTGGAGATTCCCATTAGGATACTGGCGTAGCGTGGAGCGATGTCCAGGTGATTGACATTGAAGCCTGTTGCAGCAAAAAAAAAAAAGCATCACATTAATCTGAAATATTGTTGACACATTTTACCTTTTGAATTATGACACAGACAGACAACCGGGAAAGAATGCCTATTTAGGTAAAGCGGTATCACAGTGAGTATCAAACCCAGAGCTGGACACAGATGCAGATAAATTTGATTAGTTCAAATGGTGACGATACTGTTGCAGAAATAGGCAACAGTCCACATATCATCCTCCCCCTCCAGAGAAACTGGCTTAATGAGAAAGTGTCCTCGTGATTTTCCTCACACCCTCCCTGGCAAATCCCCAGAGACGGCTAGCTAGCACTGAATTATTAAACACTCCAGGAGAAAGCTTGAGAACAGGCAATACACTCATCTTGTCACAGGCCTGCGCATCAATATGAAAATATCTTTGGAATGAGTAGCTGAAGAATGCTGAAAAGTCTTTTCAAATGTGTTGCCAGGTTGCCAGTTTGACTGGATGTATGTGCTAATTAGTGGTTATGAATGTCATCGTAATAGTTTGACATTTTAGAAGAAAATGCTTTTTCACTTTCTTGCAAATAGTTGAGAAGATCTACCACTGACATCCGAGAGAGTGTTACTCTTCTATTCGATGCTCGGACGGAAAATAATAATAATAATATTATAATTATTCTGAATTTCACAAAAACCTCAACTTTACAGTAATACCAAAGATAAGTTATTATGCAAGGTATTCTTTTATTCACTTCAAATGTGGTTTCAAGGCTGATTTGTGAAAGCTACACAAATTAGACCTGCAAAACCACTGGCGTATTTCTACGTCGTACGTCAGAGACTAAATTGTATCTGATTTACAATCTGATCGAGCACAAAGTGGATGTGTACTCACCTGATATAGCAAATCCACTGAAGCCCACTGCCAGTACCAAGAAGGAAATGGCCACTCCTTTGCTGTGGGAATACCCCACTACCAGCAGCAATGTGGCCTCCATGCCAAATCCTGACAGAGAGAGACAGCAGGTCACACACACACACAGACACACACACAACAGAAACACACAAAGCCGAAGGGCTGTTGGGCACCGCGGTGCCAATTGAATTAACCATGATACATGGGCCGCATTCAATTACCCATGTGACGCATATGAAATCAATGCGCAATCAGCGAGTCAACTGAGTATTGAGCAGAAAGAAATGTAAACTCAAGCATCTCTCTGGCAGTGAAGAGCAACAAATATAAGAGCAGTATGGATCCAACACCATGAAGTCACACCTTCTAGCTGAGCAGGCAGGTGTGGAAAAATGATATTTCATCCTCAGTTCAGACTTCTCACCTCCACAGTTCATGATTTTCCTGACAGTGGTTGTCGTCAGGATGTTTCTGCTGCGTAGGTAGTCGGCCAGCTGGCCGCCGATGGGCACGATGATGGTCATCACCAAATGTGGCAGCGCGGACAGCATGCCGACCTGCGACCACAGAATTCAGGCAGCTGGATACGTTCATGACGCCTTTTTTAGGTGATAAATCATTGACCTACCAAACATGTCCACCTCACACGAGAGACCAAATATGGTCCCAAATTGTAAAACAGAACATTGTTTTTTGCTATGTGATTATTGCCATGAACACTTTTTTCCTTTATTGTCTCGGTTTTGAGGGAACTATAGTAATACTTGTTGTTGATTACTTAATTGATATCTTAATTAAAAATATCTAGCAATGTTTCACCCAAACTTTAACTTTGAATGTTATTTGTTTCATCGTGACCATTTTATGTTACGATGTAGAATACACCTTTTGGGGGACTTGAGAGTCAAGTCTAGAGGGGACATCTTTTTTTATTCTATTGCAGTATAATACGACCTGTAAACAACGTTAGCGTCAAGTCGTTTGTGATCACAGTTAGTTACTCTCTTTTTAACCTTGATGAACCAAAGTTATGTAATGTGCCCGTTCATTACATGGGGCCACAGGCCACCACGTGCTGACATTGATTCTGATAATGAATCATTCCACGAGCAAAGTGTCACATGCTCATCTCCAGAACATTTGGCAATGGTGTTGAGGGACTATTTCCAGTGCATTTGAATCAATCATTTATCAATCATGCTCACTCAATACATGCTGCACGTGTGCCACTGTCCACTGTCTTGTACTGTGAGCTCACCTTGCTTATTTCAAAGCCAAAGACCTCCTCAAAATACGCAGGCTGGCTGATGAGCAGAAGGTAAAACGTCCAGCTCCTGCAGAAGTTTGCCACAATGATTGCATAGACGGGCATAGAGGTGAAGAACTTCTTCCAGGGGGTCTTGAATTTCTGCAATAGATTATTACAAAGGGTTAGATTTTCCTCAATATGTTTGCGTCTCCCTGACTGAAGGCCAAAGGTGATGGAACTGGGTGCTTCAAATACCCTGTGCTAAAAAAAAGTGTTGAGAGCAACGACAGCCGGGTGGATGAATTGTGTTCATTGTCCAGGGTTGTTACCTCGGCAGGACCCGACAGCTTGGCGCTCTCTCCGATGCTCTCCTCTATGTAGCAGCGCTCCTCATCAGTGATGGTGGGATGTTCAGCTGGGCTCTCATAAGACACGAGGATCCAGAACACATACCAAAGCATGCCAAAGCATCCTGCACACCACAAGTAGAGAAGGAGCTTTCATTACCGACAAAGCATGCAACCAACTTAGACCTCAGCTGGAGGTGCACACAGATTGAGGTTGGTAGTCTGATCTTTGCAGAACGCCTGAGAGAATAAAACCCAGACAGGAGAGCCAACTCTATCCAGTGAGAAACATCGAGGAAGGGGGGGGGGGGGTCTATTGACACATTGGGGAGCAGGAAATCAATACGCAGTCCGTCTGGACAAATCCATTTGACTTTCACTGAGTGTCGAACTCTGAAGGTTTCAACCAGCTGAAAAATACTGTATTACCCGTACACGTTCCACATATATATATATATATATATATATATATATATATATATATATATATATATATATATATATATATATATATATATATTTGCCTTATTGTATTCATGAATGCATATGACCTCATCTCATATTCACTTTTTCAACAACACACACACACATCCATCTTACCGTAGATGTAGAACACAGAGGACCAGCCTGAATACTGAACCAGGATCCCTGCTAGAGGCATTGCTATCACAGCTCCAGCATAAGAGCCTGACAAACAGCGAGACGAGGGACAAGTCAGGCTTCTTCACCACTGCAGTGGTAACGCTGCATGTTTTTACTCCATGTGTCCATGCAAATAGGAAAACTCGAGCAGTGAGTACTTACCACAGAAAGAGAGGGTGGCCAGTCGACTCCTCTCCAGCGGAGGAGCCCACTTACTCCAGATACCGTGACAAGCCGGGTAGGTCACTCCCTAAACACAGAGACAGACTGTGTAGTTCATGGTAAAAAAAACATGCCATGTTCTTCAGCTCATGTCAGCACGTCATGTCAGCACTCCAGATGCAGACGTTACATTTGTGAGAGTGGTCAATAATCAATGTCAGACATTTTTTGGCCGTTTGATTCATGGTTCAAATAAATATACAGGCATTTACAGTAAACAGGAATGGGTTTGAATTTATTTTTGATGGATCCATTGGTAAATGGTCTGAAGGCCTTATTGAAACAGAAATCTAATCATTCAAACATTATAAGGGCATTGCTATATTTCACAGAAATTGAATTTCTGGATTATTTGAGTTTGTGAATTATCAACAATCTAAGAAGCAAATCGTTTTTACATCTGAACATTTATCAACAGATTCTGATGACTATAATAAATTAACATTCACCTTTGTAATTAACATGAACAAATTGCTACAGTGGACATGATGAGCTGTTCATGGAGTGAAGCGGCCCTGCAGCTATTAAAGGTTCATTTGACACTAATCTAAACAAACTGTGCTGACTTTAAATATAATCTGCACTTTCTGAGCGGCCTGTTTTAATATTATGTTTTTATTCATTCTCCCCAGAATTGTTAAAATATATAAGTTACCCTTCAACTACCTTTAGTGTCCTAAAAGATGACCCCAATATCTGTTTTAATCAACCATACATATTCATAGCTCTATACTTCACAAAGGTAGTATCATCTTTCTGTGTTTTTGCTACATTGCATCAACATCAACTACACAGCAGCCAGATATCCGTGTCTTGTATTTCACTATTCGAAGCCGGAGGACAGATATGCTTTTGTTTGTCAGCGTTTTCCTTTGCATCAGCAGCATTTGCTATGTTACCACCATACAAAGTGTGACAGCCAATCAGAAAACGGGACTGTCCCACAAACCCTCTGCGTAGTGGACTAGATCGATACAGCGCTCACGTTTCCTCTGGTTGAATATCCGCTGCACGCCACAGTCTTTCCTGCACTTTCTCCTGCAGTAGCATTGAAGCAATTCAATAGAAATTCTACCTCTATCACCTCAATATTTTCCATGAACGGGAGAATTTTTTCGGGGCTGATTTTTATTTTTGAATCCATCAAAGGGCAGAAATGTTTTGAATGTGGTAATAAATGGGAACACGCTCTTACCTCCACCAGCCCTTGTAATATCCTGATAAAGATGACACACCCATAGTGGACGCGGGCAGCCGAGGGAATGAACATGTTGAGGATTGAGGTCAGCACAATGGCTGCACCAAATACCCTGGAAATTATAAGATGTATTTCAGCATTTCACATTATAATGTTGAACTGAACGAATTGCATTGACAAATATTTGACAAGGCTTTGAAATATCACATTAAATATTCCTTTATCTTTTTTTCAAGAAAGGTATTAGCGCAACTATCACATCATTATTTATACAAATAAAAAAACACGGCAAACTATCAATATACATATTATACACGAGGATATTAAGATTCTCTTTGTGTTTCATCTTATTGTGGAGGCAGAAATATCTTTCGTATGTAAAAAACTAAAGGCGTGATTATTTAACAGGACTCGGTGTTCGTTGGCTATCGCCTCGCCTCTGAGGGCGCGCGCTCCTCTGACACAGAAAGAAATAAATATTTCAAGGCGCAACGCCCCGTTTTACAGTCACGCGGCCGATGCGCTCATGTCGCCTAGCAACCGTTTTCACTTCGGTCTGCCGCTTCAAGATATGTTTCTCATAAAAATGGAAAAACATTTTAAATTTTAACTGACAAAGCTGCCAACGCCATTTGCGAACGACTCTTTTAATTGTCAAGATGAGGATGTGTGTTGGTCTGTAGAAGGCCACACGATAAACTCAAAGCTATTTCACATTTTTGTCACGTTTCGCGGCCCCTCTCATTTGCACTATGGGGGGCGGGGGGGGGGAGGGATTAGGAGGGGCAAATCCTAATCCCGTTCAGACTACTGTTGGGCACGAGAGCAATTGATTCGATTACATCCTCGTGTCAATCAACAGGAGGAGAAACCGACACCCATAAGGGTGCATAGGAATAAGAATATAAAAAGACAAGCGACAGGCCACATTAATATGAAGGTCCATTTCTTTTACCCCGTTTTTTCAGAATTAGTGTTTGTCAATAAACGGCTATTATTTGGGTTTTTTTAATGAACAGGTTTAAACGGTCGTAATTATATCGTGCTCGAGATTAAGCATGCTAATAGAACCATTCGCCTTCACGGTGCTGTTACCAATTTGCAAGATTGTGCACATCAATATTAAATTGCTAAAATCGTGCATCTTCCCATGAAACATTATAGCCTGTAGTGTTTGTAATAACTGTGATGCTGCATCGCCAGCGCGAATTAAAGCCTTTGGCGACAAGACAGCGTCTGGTCTCCATTCCCCGAAGAGTGAGCGACATATTAGACCCGACCGCCCCAAGGGGGCTCATTAACAGGTGGCAGAAAGCCCTGACACCGAGAGCTGCAGGCCGGCCAGCCCGGTGCCTCCCTGCAGCTCTGCTTCACTTCAGAGCCTCTATGTGACGAGCCGCAGCCTGTAGCTGTGAATTCTTAAACCAATTCACATTTCAGGCAAGACGCCATTTTTTCCTGTCTGGCCTTAGCTGTTTTTTTTTTGTTTGCATTGGTCTGGATTTATTCCAGTCCCCGCGATTTTAATTCCGTTCCTTGCTTATTCCAGAAAAAAATGAGACAATGAAGAATGAGAGTGGGACAAAGGGTGTGTCCAACCAACTGTCCATTCATTTTGATTAATTGGTAATGAAAAAAAATATAAACCGAAGAAATCACTGAGTTGTATGGTACATTCCCAGGTGGACGGGCCTACCTGTTTGCTGCCAGCCTTGAGCATATGTATCCCCCCGGGATCTGTGTAACGATGTAGCCCCAGAAAAACGATCCGTGAATGAGTCCCACCGTTTGTGGATCCCAGTTGAACTTGGCTTTCTGGGGGGGGTAATATGAAAAAAAAACAATAGCAGGGAAAAGTAAACAATACTGATGTTGGGTTTTGTTGAACAATTGTAGGCAATGAATAAAAAAAACCAAATAAATAAAAAGGGTAATTGACTGAATAGACCAAGGCCCGATTAACACGTTTAACCCATTTAACCCGCCTGCAACGGTTTATTTCGATGAGAATAAATTACGGTCTGCATCACAATCATATATGCATCCTGCGCTGTGAGAGAAAAACTAATAAGAATCTATGTGATAGTACCTTTTTGTCAGATGTAGGCTATGATTCAGTTATGAGGCTTAAACGCAAACAAATACAAATGTAATGTGACATTGTATGCATTGTAAATATATAGATGAATGGCTGTTGCAAATACAGTAATCGACACATATTTCTAAAGATTTGTGTATTTTAACTTTTTTACTTTGTATGCAAATATATGCTTTCGACCAATGTGTGTTTAGAAAATCAATTAATATAAGTTTCCATTATTTGGTCTGTCCATAGTATACATTTGAGAATACGTTCCCAGAAAATATATATTATACATATACAGCATGTCATCCTTGCTATTAGAGCTAGCTGACATTTTAAAACGATGGCAGCATCCTCATGGAAAATTAGTGATTGAGGCCGAATATCTCAAGCCATTAAAAGGTTTTCGTTAAACACAAATACCCACTTAGATTGTGCACACGCTCATCAGCCAATTAATGATTATTGGGCGCTATTTGTGTGATTCTACCGCTGAATATTCTTTCTTATTCCGTATCTCCTTTTTTCCTGTCCCTTGGTTCCTTGATTAAATAAGAGCCGGGTGTCTCGTGTCTGGAGGCACGCGGGCTACGTCGCCATGTGCGTCAGGCGTGATCGCCGCCGTTGCCACACCTCCGTGATGACGATCTTGCCGTTCTGGTGGATGGTGCTGTTGTTGACCATGCCCACTATGGCCACGCCTAGGTTACACCGGATACCGAAGGAGATGCAGAAGCCCAGGCCGCTCATGATGGCGATGATGTAGCGGCGGGGCAGACCGAAGCAGCTGCAGTCGCACAGCGGGGGTTTCTTCTCCGCGGCCTCGCGGGGCCGCCCATCCTCCGTCAGCTCGATCACCTCCCCGGTTTTCTGTTTCCTCTCCATCACTCTGCAACAGCCAGGTGAGGACACTGGTCAGTGTCCCCTGATCGAACGAGATGATGCATCCCCCTAAAACGATTTCTCCTGTGATGGGACACATATCTGAGGAGGCCCATTTCTATCTCCAACTGTGAGAATATTTGATTTTGGAGTGGGCAGTTGGGTGGTTAGTGTGCCCATCTGAGATTCTTTATTTTTCACATGAGTGAGGAAAATTCCAGCATAAACAATATACATTGGCTGCACGAATGGACGGGCCTCCTTGTGGTATTTTATTCTGCCACACTACAGCCTTACAGCTTCAAGTCAGAGGACTCAAAAGGCAGCAACGTATCAAAAGCAAAACATGGATTCTGTATTTGGACATAAGAAAATAGAACAAAAAGGGAAATAAAAGCGGCTGGGCCTGCAGAGCTGAGACCAGGCGAACACGTCCCTGACTGTACCGCATTGCAGCAGCCCGCTCACTTTCACACTCATTAGCATTCACGGGACAGAGCAGCAGCTCCAGTCACCAGACACACACCTCTGTGGGCATTCCTCAAAGCCCCCCCCCCCCCCCCTTGCGTCTCAGTGGACGTCACTTCTACTGGTCACATGATGAAAACCTAAAAACGAAAATGCGTGTATCTGCAAGCCCATGAAAAGCAACATAAATAATTAATGGGAAGGAATCGAAAAAATGCAAATCGATGAAGTCGATACGATATATATGAAATCAAAGGCCTTGGAAACATATAGAAAAACTGAGCTTTTCTAAAGGGTTATTGAAAGCATAACTGCAGCACATCAATTCATTTGCATGTTTATTTTATTGTATTTCAACCTCAGATTATAAAGAAAAAAGATATATGAATAAACCATAAGCTATGCAAAAACGAGTAAAATGTATTAAAGAAACACCATTTACGTCCTATTGGTTGAAATTCCCCTCGTTGTTTCCCTTTCTATTAATTCGAGACACGGGCTGCAGGTTTATCACAATGCATTTAACGGATGGTAAATAAAATGGATTATAAATTATTAATGAATCTTCAAAAATGTGCGCGTTACCTGCGCGTCATGTATAACCTGTCTGCTTGTGAGATACACCTACAGGGCCCCTGCACCAGGACGAACTGGCTGCGTGCACGCTCCCATTCAGTGGCATCTAAGTACACGCGCTCATACACACCCACACACACAAGCATACACATGCACATGACTGCATAATTTTCCTCTCACGTCCAGAGTCTAGAGGCGTGACCAGAGATCCCTGTAAGTTGTAAAACAGTTTTGGGTGACCTGCACACCAACTTATCACCCTGACTCGTGTTTGGTTAAAAGAACAAGCACGCATATAATCACACCGCAACAGGAAATTGCTCCATGCCAATCAAGATTTTTTTTAAAAGGTCTGTCCTTACCTGTACATTTGACCCAGGGTCTTCCCCGCAAAGTCCTTCACCCCCGCCGCGGCTCTCGTCTTTACTGACTCCATGTCCGATTTCTACGTATAGGCCTGTTTCTCACTTGTATTTTAAATCTTAACCGTCATGTTACGGCGCAGGATGGCCAACTGCAGCGGCTACAAGGAAACCCACAAGCGAAGTTGTGATAAGCAGGAGTCCAGGGAGGTGACTATCAAAAAGACGAGTCTAATTTTCACAACGAAAGCGATCGCCGAAGCAAAAATAAAACATAAATAGAGGAGGAATCAAACGACCTTTGCGCCTTCATCCGCCACCATACCAGCTCCTGCCCGGCGCACAGTAGCCACGCCGAGTGCCATCACGACGGAACACAAAAATGAGTGAAACTGTCAGCGCCGTGGGATCGATCGGCTGTGGATTTTTCCGGAATAAAAAATAGAGAGTGCGAGTAAGAGAGATATATAGAGAGAGAATGAATGAACGGAAAAATAAACGCGTTCAAAGTTTAGAAAGCAGAGGTGGTCGGGGAAGCTTCTATAAATCAAAGAGGGAGTGAGGCTCGATCGTGTCTCCTGTGGTGCGCGCAGGTTCATCTGACGTCGTGTTCAGCACCGAGGTCAGCGACAGCAGTTCCGCGCTCAACATCTGGCCAGTTGCTCAGCACACATCAAGCCCAGGATCAACATATAACATGATAAAGAATTAATATATATGTATGACTTGGTTCATATCAGACTTTTGAGAAAAAACACCGAGAGGGAGACGAAGAAATGTTTAGTTCATGTTTCGCTTGTCGCTGCATATAATAACATTTAATAGGCTTTAACTCTATATATTAATCTTCCTTTGGCATTTTTATGGTCATATGTGCCTATATCTATTCAAAACAACAAGGACAGTCAACCCCATTTATGTAAGCTGCAACTCTCTGGAGGGCGGTGCTATGGAAACCAAATGAGCAGGAGTGGATTTCCCCCACAACAAGCTCCTCTGCTCAATGTAGGGATCCATCAATAATTTAATCCTATTTTCATTCCCCTGACAACCACATCTTCGCACTAAAGCATGCACACAATTTTTGAAACATTTTTATGTATATACATTTTATGAGATTTCAAAGATCTGATACTTTTCTCAATGCAGAAAAAATAATTATTAGTAGTTTAGCATAATAATAAGAAATACGAAGGGAAAGAATGATTAGAAATTCAACAATACGAATTATACAGAAAGTACAACAGAAATATTAATGATAATAATAAAAAATAAAAAATTCAAAGAGCTAAGATCTGCGATTAGAAGACAAAAGAGAAAGCCACACAAGCTGTGTCTTTCGTATGATTTGTTGGTATTGGACACCATCTAGTGGTCAAATGTACACAGAATATTGCTCTTCTACACAAGTACATGAAGTACCTTGCAAAATGATATTGTATATTACATCATTTTGTTTTTAGTAAAGTAAATTTACATTTAAAACTTGTTTTTGTGTATTGCCGCCTCTGTGGTATTTTCGAGCTTCACTGTGCATAGTGACCTCTGTGAAGCAGATAAACTGGAAACCACCACGTCTGCCTCCTGGAGGAAGTACATTTGTGTCCTCTCACCTTAAATATCAGTTGAACACTTACAATCATGAGTTGGTTTTGTGACATCAAATCACTAATTTGGAAGCCAATCTTGTTCAAAGATGGTACTTGCACAGGTGTTGTCTTGGTAATACTGAGAGTGCTTCTGAAGACATCTTGTGTCCAGTAGTGGAACTACAAAGTATTGTGATTTCACACAACACGTTGGTTTTACAGTTTAAGCTCTTTTTTTCTTAACCTCGCTCGTCACAATGTTCTTATTTAATTGTGTGTTTTGTGCAACAACAAAAACAACATATTCACTCTATAGATAGTATAGTATTTCTTTATTTACTGGGAATGTTAACAAGTTTCCTGCCTCTCAGCACAATCATTCTGAGTTCACAGTGAACTTATTACAGAATCATACAAAAACAAGTAAGCACAGAGGCGTAAGGCATTTGTTTTTTGGGAAACACATCATGCATGTTGCAAGAACATGCTGTGCACTTGTCAGACGTGTGCATAGCATGTTCAGGCTTAGCTTTCGACTGTGAACATTTGCTGATATCTGAAATCACAACTGTCTCATTTATAAAGAGGTTTCAATATAAACAGACAAGCTGTTTTTAGCTAAAGACAATCTCTGCGTCTAATCTCTGTTTCTTTATTCTTTATTACCCTTTCAAAAAGTAGCAGTGTATAGAATGCAATGAATTTGAAAAATTGTCTGAACCAACACGGCTCGGTTGTTGTTATGAGGCAACGAGTAGTACAAAATAAGAAATCGGGTGTTGTAAATCAATTAATAAATAAAAAAGCTTTAGGCTACACAGCACAAGCGAACCAATAAGGTAATTGCAGTGCAGCCCTTTTAAAAAGATTATTTATTATTTATATTTACAGGAACACTTAGTAACCAGAGTTACTAAAGGTCCTTTACTGAAATCCACACTCACAACGTGGGCACAAGAAATTCTTCTCCTTCTGTCGATTATAATGGTTTACGCCAACAGCATGGGGAGACAACAATCATGGGAAATTTGTAAACAGGAATATAGGCCATTTATTATCCATGTGAAACCCAAGGAGGAGTAAAGTCGACAATTGATCAACCTCGACTCACGCACATGAACTGATTGTATCCAAACAGAAACTCTGTCAGAGATATTCTCGGTGTAGTCTTTTCTCCTGGTAGGAATCTAATTGGTCCCACAGCTAGTTGGAAATACACATGTAAGATGCAATACGTGAGCCTGCACCTGCTGTCTCACCATGTTACTAAGAAAGGGTGGACTGATATTCACACCCTTAATTGTTACAGTATCACTGCAGTATGAAGGAGGTACCTGGTTTTCAAATGCACTGACTTTCTCTAAACATCCTCTAATAACAAAACTGACAACCTCATAGCCGGGCTACAGATCAGTGGAACTGAGCAATGTGTAGCTACCAATTAAAAAACAGGCTACAGTAATAGTTCAATGATAGAAAAGACATGTTATGCATAAGGTACATCTCTGAAATGATATGATCTTTTTTAACCACGTACATTTCTTTTTTGAAACATTTGAGTCCTTCATCTTGTATTCCAATCAGAAGAATCACATGCAGAACATTTAATAAATGATATCTTAGCTGACTATTTTAAGGATAATTACATCTACTGTCACATGTTCAACACAACAAACTTTAACTCTATTGGCACATACAGAGATTATTACTTTTCAATAAGAAGACATTACACGGGGAATGATAAAGGCTGCATTTTTTGCTCTTTGCTTCTTCCCGCTATCGTTTTATGGCACAGGAATGTTTCATCCATTCAAAAAGCAGATTAGGTAAAAGGTTGCATCCTAATGTAGGAGTCCATTCGGCAGTAAAAGATAAAAACATTTTCAGCCAAAGACAGAAGCCCTTGTATACGGATGCTCCCGGTCCGTCAGTGGCTCAAAGCGTAACGCTACAGGCACTCAGACAGCGTTTCATGCTTGTCGGTCGGCAAGGACATTTCTGACTGCGGCTCCGTGAGGAAACTGGCACTCAGCTGGAGTTTGAGCCGCTCCACCTCGTAGTTATGCAGGTACTCTTGAATCAAGTAGCGCTCTCGCTTAAATCGAGCCTTCACGCCTGTAGGGACATCGGGGATCATCCACGCCACGAGGAACTTCACCACGAACACGACATGCTGCAGCGGGAGAACAATCACACGGTCAAGAAAAAGAAAAAAAACTTCACGTTGAGCATTTACTCTCTGAGCAGCAAGAGGGAAGCAGTCGTGTCACCTCCATGATGATGATGAAGGCCATTTTGGCAGCCAGGATGTGCCAGAACTGCATGGTGTGAGTGTACTGCTTCTGGTGGCCCGGAGGGTAACGGTAGTCACGGTATCTGAATAAAACAACTTCCTAATGTCAGTAATGCTCCATCAGTGTCCACGCAAGACATGATCATTATTCAGCAACTCATTTTAACACTTCTATCCACTCAGGGGCAGCACAACAAGCTGCAAATAAAACACAGACATAATAAACCTATACAGTTAATATATGAATATGAATGATTATTGCAGCTTTACAACTACGACAAAAAAAACCCGTTAAAATAAGCTGAATCCAGAGGCACTACCTGCAGGTGGTGGTGGAGTTACCAAACCAGTCGTCTCGTTCCTCGGGCATGTTGCGCTCGGGTATGTGAGAGATGTTGTACACTGACAGGCTGTTGTTAACGTAGCCCCGCATGCTTTTATGTTCATCGTAGGAATACAGGAAGACCATGCGGGGGATCATGTCGGAGGTGAACGCCATTATGAAAGCCTGAGACGGGAGAGAGCCAAACAGTTGCTGCAAATAAATGTTACCCTGACAGCCTGTTCAATGTTTATCATACATGAAAATAGAGTAGACGAGTAACCCGTTCCCTACACTACACAAACAGCACAACACTCACGTTAGTAACAACGGACAAAATGGCCACTGCGTTGAGGATTTCCTGCCACGCGCCGATGTTTCGGGCCTTGGACGCCACTGGCCTCTTGTACTGGGTGGTGAACTTCCAGGCATCCACCCGGATCTCCAGGATGTTGTTGAACAGGGCCAGCAGCGGAGCCAGGGGGAAAGAGGCTACGAACAATGTGATGAAACCAAACTGGACCACTGAAAAGAGGAGAGAGCAGACGGAGAGAGAGAGAGAGAGGGAGAGATAGTGGGACAACAATAAATGCAACACGGGGACAAAAGACAAGACGGCGTCTTTAACTCGTACAACTGCGCTCCACATATGATGTGTGTTTTGTAAACAATTGGGGTCTCTCACCCATCTCCAGGTACTCATAAAACAATCCCAGCTGGGTGAAGTTCAGCAGGGCGTGGTCCTGCTCCCAGCGGCTGTAACGGTTCTCCGGGTGGTGCCGTCCCTTCCTGCTACTCCACCAGTTGCGTATCAAGCTGTGGAGAAGCAGAGACTGACGTTGAACTGCTGAGATCTGACGTCGAGATTCATGCCTTGTGTGACGTTCAGAGGTTTCAAATAAACGTTCAACTGGGTTTTCTTCATTTTCAAAAGTGTTACATTTTATTGAGGTTAAATCTACTTAATGATAACTTGCGCACAAAACAAATTTCTTAAAAAAATAATAAATAAGATGCTCTAGAAATTCACAGAATGCTAATTGCACTGAAACCCATAATAGAAACGATTCTCTTGTCATGCTGGATTGAGCTGTGAAGGGAGCAGATGGGAGACGGTGGACTCACGGCAGCAGAGCTTCCTGGATGTTCCCCCAGAGTTGTTTCCCCGACATAACAATCACCAGCTGTGTGGTCAGCTCAATCAGACAGCCTCCAGGGTCGCACTAAGACAACACAACGTTTGCAGCTCACATAACATACTTTCATGTGATTGGCACCATGGAAATTATGTGAATGTGGAAAAATGTTGAACCTTCTCTCTTCTGTTTGCTTAGAAGAAATACCTTAATCACCAATAATTATTATATAAAGAGCAAGAAAAACCACCTCCTCATTCCTCAGTTTGCTCCACGGGCCGAACATGTACGTGTAGTCGCCAGGAGAACCAACAAATTTCCCCTTGAAGAAGGCCACGTAGAAGCACGATGAGTAGTAGTTGACAAACTGGAAGAGGAACATCTTCATGGTCAGCCTGTTCTCATACTCAAGGTGGGTCTTTGGGATTTCTGCAGGAATGTTTAACATCGTCAAAGGCAAAATCTATTGTCATTTGTGCCTTTCGTTGATAAAACTCCTGTTGATTCTCTTTACCCATATCGGTGATCCAAATGGCCACCCGCTCATAGAAGAAGTTGAGGATCATGATGATGACAAAGTTGATGCAGGAGGCGGTGACAGACGTGGCCAGCTGCGGAGTGATGAATTTGCCCACCAACTGGATCTTCCTCATGGGGTCTTTGATGATACTTGCGAAGGCAGCATACACAGCCAGCCTGTATGCTATGACTCCAATGATACAGGCCACTATCAAAGAAATCTGTGGGAGCACGCGTGTAAAACAAGGTGACTACGATAGGAAACAGGGCTCACTGCGTATTGCCGTAAGAAGCACGCGTGCATGCACACATAGATATTCACTCACCCAGAATATTACAGTGGCCGTGGAGAGGCAGAAGCGAGCACACTTGCTGGTGACAGGCAGATATGGCTCCATTTCCTGAAACATTGTTATCATTTATTTTTTCAAACATATAGCTATGGAGAGTGCATTGTATTTGTTTACAGATCTTTTTGTTTGTTTGCATGTTTGGCAGCACCTGAGAGATCTTGTTGAGTCTCTTGCTGGTGCATTGTATCTCAAACTCGGGCCGGATTTGAAGCTGCTGCTGCTCCTCCTCGAAGTCCACCAGGTCCCACTCGTACTCCAGCCGGGCCTGGCGCCGCTTCCAGAACTCCAAAAACAGAGTCACTGCCAGGTAGATTTGAAGAAAGGAAGCAAATCAATCTCATATCAGTACAGCAAAACGGGCAGATCTTTCAGTACCTGACTAATGCAACACTGACTGGAAACAGAAAATGTCTGTTCTGAGTTTTAGGGAAGTTATGTGTTTCAGCTGCAACACCTCTGGGCTCGCTGCTCAGGAGCCCGGTGTATTTATGCCACCGGAGCCCGGTGTATTTAGACTGCTGGATTCATTCTCTGACTTTTTTGTACATAACAACAACATATTTGTGCATGCATTTAGTTGTGGGCTAAAGCACTAGATTGAGGCGGTGAAAAGGTTTTAATTGTGAAAATCTCTTATTGGAGGGAGATAAATTATTGGAGGGACAAATTAAGAGCACCTTTGACTGACACTTACCCCAAATCCCCATGAATATGGCAAAGAATATCGTTCCCTCGTTGTCAAACAGATGCGATTGCTGGAAGTGAGATTATGGAGAAATAAGTGGCTCAGAGATGTACAACAAACAGGATACAATTAAGTCTCACACACTTATGTGGGGAAATCGTAGATTGCAATATGGGGTTCAGTGTCCAATGAACATATAGAGTGTAATGTTTCACCCAGGAGGAGAGACATGTAGAGTTGAGCTTCCAGAAAGGACACTTCTTATCGCAAAGTGGACACATCACAATACTTCCTCCAATGTTGGCGTCACATATTTCTTTGCTAAAAGAAGCAAACAGAGAGTCAAACAAATTGAAAATACACAGTGGACCGTTATGAACATCTAGCACCATTTCATTGCATTGTAAAAGTTGTACCTATCGGTCTTTAAGGCGTAACAGTATGATTTAGCCAAAAGTATGTGGATTCCTCAGCATACTTTTGGTTTGAGGCTGCTTTTCCAAGTTGATGCTAGCTGCTTTAGTTCCAATACATCTTTATGCAACAGCATAAGATCATTATTCAAAGGTATACTTCTTCCAAAAAATGACCCTTTTTATGTTGATTATTCACCATGTGTTGCATCACATTCTTAAGGACTCCCACTCGCCCAAATAGGGATGAGAGAATAAAAAGTCTAACCTCCTTAACCAACGCATGCGTCTCTACAAAAACCTCACAATTGAGTGAGTGAACAACTGGATAAATGAGAATTCAAATGGACCTACGGGAGTATTTGGGTGTTCATGTTCTGACTCTCTCCGGTGGTACAAACCTTGACACATTGTTGTCGTAACTCAGAAGTCCGTAGGTGAAACATATAACGCCCATGACGGCCGCAAAGAAGAGCATCTCAGTGTAGAAGCCCAACCAGGCGAAGTAGATCCCAATCTTCTCCCCGTAGTACTTCCTACGACCGGAAACGGAAACAGTTTCACTAAACACGCTTCAGGTGCATTCATTCTTCATTCAAAGGGCGACAGCATTGAGATTGTGCCGGTTTACCGGATGAGGTTGAGCGGCTGCTCTTTGTAAAAGATGAGGAAGCGAGCCCAGTGCTGGTACAAGTTGAAGCGCTCACTCTCGCACTCGGCGTTTCGTGCCCTCTTCCAGTATCGACACTGAAATGAAAAGAAACGTTGCGACGTGGGTTTCGTTGAGCAAAAGATCTTCAGAAATGAAAAGTGTTGTGCGAAAAGAGTGAGCGTGTTTCTTTAAACGTTCCATTATTTACTTTACTCTTTATCTTGACGTTAACATTTTTTTTTAATAGTTTCATTCCAATTTCCCATAATGCTCCCATTATACTTGCATGCATCCCATCGTGAATGCGGCACGTTGAGGCTTAACCTAGTTTAATGTAGTAGCTGGCCACAGTTTTCAGGTGGAAGCTCTAAGGGAGATGACCGTCGATGTGTTTGATCTCTACACGTTTGTGTCCCGTCTTCCTCGTGTCTTACGTCATGTAGTGGAAAGGCTGCGGTATACGTCCCATTGCTGAGCAGTCGCTTGATCCCCGTCTTGTCTCTCTCTTTCAGACCCTCTTTGTAGTACGGGCATCGAGCTAGGATGTAGTACACCTAACAGCAAAGACGGGATTCACAAAGGGATTAACGTCTTTGGATTTGTATCAGCTCCTTAGCTGAATGCATGTAGAATGTTGCTTCATTATTTTGCTCTAAAACTGTGCAGTAAATGTTAAGATTAATCCCCACATGGCTGTGAGAGGGGACATTCGTACAAAAATCGTATTTACGGTGTAAAAAGAAATACTCACAATTCTGTTTCTTGTGGACGGTGGGAAGAAAGTGTCCTTGTCGTTGATGAGGAAGAAGTCGGTCTTGGTCTTGTCGAAGGGGTAGGTGAAGTAGTCGGGTTCAGGGCGCATAACGTGCTCTGGCAAGCGGAAAGGATGTGAGAGACACTCCAGTGGGACGTCCTGACCGTGGGGGACGTCACTGGTTTTGAAGGGGACTTTGATCTTTAAGACGTCAGCGTAGGTGGCCAGTACCTTCCACGGAGCATGAATCTTTAAGAAATATGTCTTTTGGTCTTTAGAGTCCTGATGAAAAGAGATATAGAAGAGCGGAAAACATACTTATTTTTTAATACATGATTTCCTTTAAGTGATCTGATAGACGGCAATATGATGTGAGCAATTCCCTTTAAGACTTTTCCAGGAACACGTGGTGCGCCTAATCAAACTGTCCACCAGATGGCGCAGCTGCCCTGTGGAGGAACCTCTTACCGATTTGTCCTCAGTCTCCAGCTCCAGTCCGTCTTTCTCAAGGTTAGCCTCAAACGCCCTCCTCCTCTCCTGTGGACATGCACACACACACCAAAGTCATGACACACACTCTTATTGTCTTTCAGTCTTCTCCCTTCATACACACACATTTCCTGCAAAACATGTCCTGCAAAACATGTGCTGTTATGGAGATACTGTCGTAACTTCCACGTCGATGCAGCGTTTAATCTAGTAAGTGGACACTGGGGGAGGCAAACTCTTAAATATTGACTTGCATTGAATGTATTTGTAATGGTAAAAACACACATGAAATAAGAAGTACAGCAATTAATACAATACAATACTGTTGTATGCCATACAGTATCTCTAGTAATTGTTACGTAACAACTTGTTTTTACAAATTACAAATTTACAAATACGGATAATTTTATTTACCTAAATTTACCTAATTTTGATACATATTGAAAATAACAGGTGTGGTAACATCTTATTTTTCACAAACTAATGTTGTGTGTGTGTGCAGCATATGCAACTGTGCGTTGTGACGACATGAACCTCTTCTTACGGGAAGTGATACAAACATCATCACAAATATCCCAACAAGTCCCTGCGCATGAGCTCTGTTGGTGCTAAGTGGACGTGGACAGATGTGAATCACTGATGTGGTGCCGGTCGGTACTCTGATCTGTGGGTCACAGTCAAAGTCATCCACCAGCAGACGAGCTGAGCGCCGAGTCGTCTTGTGGGCAGAAATACACTTATTCCCGCTGAAAGCTCCACGGTGAGTCACAGGCCACGCTGTAAAAACGCTCGCCGGTCGGCTGATGACCTCTGGTTACTTTCCTGTTAAACTGACCTGTTTCTTCTCTCCATCTTTGTCGTCCACGTAGGACAACACAAAGTCTACCCTCCGAACTCCGTCCCTGAAGAACACCGTGTCTGTGTTTTGTTGTAGCTTTTTAGTCTGTAGGAAAACAAACAAACAAGAACGTGACGTTCAGCTTTCCCACAGAGGAGGAAGCGAAAGCGAACAGACCAGCAATAAAATCAGAGTCTTGAAGACGCACGTGAAGGGTTCAGACTTTAACGTTGAATAGATATGCCGCGTTATAAATAGAGAAGCACATTGTGTCCCACACACACTGTACATGTAATTATATTATCATAGGCTACCAACTCGAGGGAGTAGCCGCATTGAAAAAGTATTTAAAGAGAATAGTTTTGTCGGGGAAAAAGCCAGAGGAAGAAAAAACACATGAAACAGTAGATTTTGGACTCAGCACATCGCAGTCTGTCATTATCCAAGAGACGTTGATGGTGGAGGAGAAACATGCTTCTTTGTCAACTTCCATATTTCACACAGTATTTTATATTTTTTAACAGTAATTTAAAAATAAGATTAAGTGATGTACGGTATGTGATGTGCTGTAATCAGTATCTGCATTATAGAGTTTGTGGAAAACAATTCCATTTCAAACCTTCCACACACACAGTCTACCTATGTTTAGTTGTTGTACAGCTTTACCTTGGTTTAGGGATTGTGTTAACCTGTTTGCAGTAGTATATTTAATAGTTTAGCTTAATATCTTTAATCTGGTAACCACGGTGGGCTCAGTGGTTTTCTTGACCCCACCCAGCGTGTTTATCAGAAGTCCACATGCACCATCCGGCCAACGGGGGCGTGAACGCGGCTCATAATGGTGTTATTCCACAAGCTTTGACCCAAGGACAACATTGGAAATAGAAGTGTTTGATAGATTTATCCAATCGTGCACTAGATCCTAGAGTCAAACATCACAGAAAGATGTATGAATTATGTTATGAATTAATAAACCCTCTGCTTGTTTTCACTCTGAAAACACAACAGACGGCCTCCTGTTTGAGCAGCAGTTTATTTCTGTCGTGCCAAGAAGGAATGAGAGAAACATTTAGAGACGCGGAGGTCTTGTGACTGAGCAATTGAGCAACATTGAAATCAACTGGGTTTTTTTAAAACAGAAAGAAAACTCAGATGGATATATAACAAAAGCAACCTTCACCCCTATAACTGTAGCTGAAAGTGATATGTCCATGGTTGGTGGTTGACACAAGTTGTCAGGCAACCAGTGCAGAAACAAGTCAGAGTAGCCAAACAATAATACAGCCAGTTTCCTCACAAAAGTATTTTTTGTATTAACGACGAACATAATTTTTAGGTGTTGCCATGCTTATTTGTCAATATTCAGCTAAAGCTAATCTTTATTATTAAGTACAGTATCAAGTGTGGTATCAATCTCAAATTTTCTTAAGAAAACAAATAAGGAAATTTCATGTCAAGCGTCTTGCTTCCCAGTTGTGAGTCCGTTAAAACGCCCAAAGAATAAGGTTGAACTTACCTCTGTATGTCCAGGCAGTGTTGTACTTTCAGATAATGAATTAACACTATTTCCCCCATTTTCATCTGCAAAAGAAAGATATACTTTTTAGATTCATAGCTAACAAACATAGTTAATTAGTAGTCTAAAGTCTTTCTCTCCAGCAGAGAAAACGATTGCTGGCAGTTATGTTTAAGTTAGTGGTTGTATAACATGTTATAATGACACTTTATTCTTACTAAAGATTGGAATGTAGGCGATGGTTCAGATGTTCTTTTTGTTTGTGTATCTTTGCTTTTAGTGTGAAAGTGGGTTAATGGGTCACGTCGATGAAGCATTACACTCGTACTTAAGAACTACAAGTCATAATGTCTTTTCTTTGACATACAGATATTGGACTCATCTGTGTCATCTTCCTGCTGGTGTGCGCCACACCCAAACAAAGAACGACAATTTCTCCAAAAAGTAATATCATTGTTCGAATTTCATCGTATCCTGATACAGGCTCTGTTTATGTCCCTGCAGGATTCCACGAAGGTTCACTCAACACCAAACTCTCCCTTTAAGAGACACGAGCCAGCCAATGACCAGTATGGCATCTCAGACCTCCTCAATTCAACGGGAACCAAATTAAAAGCTACAGTCTATCGGCAACGTCAGCAGAGGAGCTGAAAGAGAGATGAGAAGCACAAAGGCTGATGCACACACACACACACACACACACACACACACACACATTTCTGCAGTGTGTCTCTCTCGCTCCCTCCAGGCTGGCAGGGGAAATGTGCTCGTGTAGCACTGCTCTGCCGGCTCCCCGATTGTTCGTGGATGGTGGGAACACGGCACTTCCTGTGGGGGAGGCTGGAACCAGCATGAAGACATCCGAGAGGGGGAGGGGCCCCAGGATGCCATTGCTGCTGTGCCAGGATTCTTGCCTCCCCTCAAATGAAACTCACTCTGCACACAAAGGAACCTTCTGTGGTCAGACACGACAAATTGACAGACAGCTGTGTGAGCCAATGAGATTGGGTGTGTTGGTCGCTCCATGTGGAGGCTCCGCGATAAGGCTGCAGAGTCATAGGAAGGAAGGAAAAAATGACACCCACATCCCCGGGGAGTACGAAGGGCAAATGACAGAGCGTGACATCTTCCAAAGGGCTGGTGGGAACGGCTCCCCGACCGTTCAGCCAATATTTTGATAAATCTTAGGACCTTTTTTTTTCTTCTTTTTCGCGTTTTTGACTTTTTTGGTCTCACTCCAACGGTGCACAGGCAGTTACCAGAGGCTGCACTGATGAAGCACAGGCAAGGGGCCAGTAGTGTGTTAACTACTCCCACAGAGAGACAAATAAATGGAGAACGGGGTCATACAGAGTAGGCTGCCCTTTGTAGGACTGAGCAACAGCGTAACTGTACACTGAAATCACACACCTGCATTCGTAGATTCTTACATTGCAATTGTGGCTTTTGAGGGCACAAATGAACTAAGTTACAACTCATATTTAAAGGACTGACTCACGCACTGTTCACTCTTTCCATACAACCCGGTTAGCCTTTAGTTGGTTTATGTTTACAGTAGCAGAGATATTATTCTTTAAACACGCCCAACAGCAGAATATCAATTTGGTGAAAAATATGTCTTTTATGAAAGCCACACACTAATGCCAAAAAAGATATCTCTTTCTTTTTTTATTTTAATTTGGTGTCTTATAAGTCTTTCATCATTATATGTGGATTCTAACTCAAACAATCTTGTTCATTTGATAGAGTGTTTTTTTTTACTTTTGTAAAGATGGGGGACAAGTGAGTGGTTCTAGTAGGAATTGTATGGATGTATGATGAATTATTGATGAATTATTGTATCTCCTTTTTAATCCGGTGTAAGTCAAGCTTTACTCTCAGGTCGGGCCTTAAATAAGTCACTGGGCCTAAAGTATTTCGAAATTGCTCGTATCAATATATTGGTTTTCAGAAGCATGTGCTGATCGTGCAGAGAGTAAAGGGGTTTCCCAGCCAAATCATGGCCAAATGAAAATTCCCTACAAACTGATGAAGTCTGGCCGTACGTGTGACCGGCAGGAGAGAGTGAAACCCAAAGGGAACCTGCATCTCCAGACGTGAACTGACATACAGGATCTAGTATTTGTCTGACGACCATGAGACGATATGTCAGACACCAAACACGCGAGCGCAACTCATAAAGCATATTAGTCTAAACAAAAAACATAAACGTACAATAAACGTACAACACTTAGTGGTCTCAAAGCACAAGTTAATAAAATAGTTTACTGAAGAACTCTAGGATGCTGCTGGGATCCCTGATCTTTACTATTTTTTTTATAATTCTACTCCGATGTATTACGTATAAATTATACTTTTATAATTAACGTTCATCTTGGTATATTGAATACAAAGTCGTGGGCTGATGAAGCACTGACAGGGTATTAGGCCATGCTGTTCCCTAATGTGAATGGATGGGGTCCAGCTTACATCCAGGACATGGTCAAACCCGACATCCCGACCCGCACTCTCCGCTCTGCATCTGCAAAACTACTCGTCCCTCCCTCACTGAGAGCAAAACACTCGACTAGATCACGACTCTTTGCTGTCCTTGCTCCGAAATGGTGGAACGAGCTCTCTGAAGACACCAGGACCGCAGAGAGCCTTCACATCTACCGCCGCAAACTAAAGACACACCTCTTCAGACTCTACCTCCACTAAAAGACTAACAAATTGTAGCACTTAAATTCTACTTATAACGGCACTTATTTATAGCAAATTGTAAATTGGCTTATTAGAGGAAATTTCACTTTCATGTTTCTTGCTCTTCTGCGTTTGTATCCCTATGGTTGAATGCACTTATTGTAAGTCGCTTTGGATCTTCCAAGTTGTCACATGTACGACTGACAGTACGAGTGGGCCATGTGGATGCTCTTTATTCTGATATATAAATATAATGCTCTCCATAAATATATGTATACATACATGTATATGGGACACAGCTATGGACACAGGACACCAGCTAGCAGGAGCAAGGCTCCACAGATACAGTCAGAAGCTGAGATGGAGGCTTGAAGAGCTCACAGATGTCTGAGTATGATCAGGTGAAGCGGCACAAAATGAACAAAACAGAACAGATAGCTCCATTGATGAGGAAGGTTTGGCATGCTGAGCAGAACTAGCAGCGGTGATGATGAGCGGACAGACAGACAGGCGTCACATACAGCCTCTGATCTGCCCGTACCTGAGTGCAGGTTCGTCCTGAATATGGTGAACACTGCAGGCCCATCTTTAAAGAAATAGACACAGGTTAGTGTTGCATTGGAGGTGGGGAGAGGTGAATGTGCATTCTTGCAAAGAACTGAGAGGGTTTTATTTCACTGCAGTTCCATCAAAGAGCCTCACAGACAAGGCCCAGGGTTTACTTACTCTAAGCACTGCAGAGAATTAAAAAACGTAACGCTCCGGAGAACAGTTCGTATCTTGTGGGTATAAAACAGGGGATTCCATCTGAGGCACAGCGTCTGAACAGAAAACTATGAAAATGAAAATGAAAACGACGCTATATGTTTTCCTACTATAACTCTAGCGGACTGCGCGGGTGTCTCCTCTCTGAGAAAAAAGCCCCATTACCAGCTCTCGGGAAGCCTCCCACGAGGGCTGAGCCAAGCTAACTGCGTACTGCTTTCAAACAGATACACCTCAGACCGTTGTTTTCTCACTAACCGCAACTCTGCCTTGCGACGACATGAACCTCTTCTTAAGGGAAGTGATACAAACATCATTACAAATATCCCAACAAGTCTCTGCGCATGAGTTCTGTTGGTGCTAAGTGGACGTGGACAGATGTGAATCACTGATGTGGGTCACAGTCAAAGTCATCCACCAGCAGACGAGCTGAGCGCCTGTCCTCTTCTGGGCAGAACCACGTATTCCTGTTGTTGATTGTGTCTTGGTGATAAGTAAGTAGGAAAATGGGCATATGAAGTATGAAGTGAGTAGGAGGGAGAGCAAAATATTACATTTAATTCCCAAACGTTTGGGTGATGGAGACCTGATAGTCTAAAGGCGGGTTGTGTACCACGATACAGAGGAACCGCAACATCCTGAGCTCAAAACAGGGCTGTGTGCTATGACAAGACGTCCTCTCTATCTCTCTCCCTCCTCATATCCTGTCGAGTCGGCTAACAAGCAAAAGAAAGATCCATAAACTCCTCCAGCCAAATGTGGATGTTGTTGGTGGATTTGGGGTTAGAGTTAGAGTTAGTTAGGGTCAGACAATGCACACTAACGGCTCACATATACCCTATGAATATGACAGTAAGGAGTGGAAAATATTGACAAACTGACAAACTGTCCTGTTTTCTATTTCAGTGTGGTGTGTTTGAGCGTGTCTTTGTGTTTGCATCTAACATGGAAAACACAAATTTCCTTTGCTGTCCGCAGGATATTAATGTCCCCACGAAGGACTTCCTTACAATCCGCTTACTGCAACAGCAGCCGAACTCTAACAGGAGAAGTCATGCGCACTGTGAAGGAGATAATGAATTGTCTACTTAAGAAAACAGCTCCTTCATACATTTATTTTGTGAAGGCACCTTTGTGGAACAAAAGGCAAAGGAGTACTTGTCAACACAGACAAGTACTCCTTTAATATATATATATATATATATATATGCTTGAATAACTTGCGCCGTTTGAACAGATTGTTTTTTAAATGGTTATGATGATGTATAATTATAATACATATATACAAGCATAATTTTATTATATATATAATTATGCTTGTTTGTGTCATAAAAGTTACTTTTATTTATAAATTTTACTAAACAAATATAGTTTCCACACCTGCAGCTGTTCTGCTCATAAAGCATATATGCTTTAATGGCCCACAGGAGTGTTTCACATTTATGTACCTAAGGCCAAGTAAATGGGTCAAGGCATTGGGGGGGAGGAGGAGGAGGGGCAATCCAAAAGAAAACAAAGCTTGAAAAAGATCATTGTAACTTAACACAAAAAAAGCCGAGATAATTCTTCTGTAGATCTTCTGGAAATCCTTCTCTTATTTAATATTGTGCGTCCATCAATGGGGGTAATGCAATTACGAGGCCTGTTTCCATGGCAACGCTTTGGCTCTGTTTCAACTCTGACTGGACAATTACTTAATTTGCTTTGGCTACAGAGACCAGAGTGAGATCACCTCATGACCACCTTCCAGTATGAGCAATAACTAATGGGAGCACTTTGTTAGGAATAATGTAACTGAAGTGTATAACTGTTACTAATCAATGATAAAAACAACTAGCAGCCCGCTACAAAAAAAGCTTTGAGTCCATAGAGGGTTAACTGAAACAGAATGACACCAAGTAGGCCTAACATGTACATAATGTGTTCATCATCCAGTGGTGTTGAGTATATACAACCGTTATCAGCCAGTGTTTGGACAGCTGTGGAGAGGCAATGCTCTCCTAACACGCGTGTATATATGGAGCTGAGGACAGAACCGTTCTTCTGTCACGCGGGTCTGAAGGTCTGTCATGATAAGAGGCAGAACAAAGCCTTTGTAGAGCGAGAGGAGTCTATTAACGCCCTGCTAACCCTGGTACACAGGCACGTGTCTTCATTAACCACTGGCTGATTAACACAGTAGCTCTTATATTCAACTCAACACAAGGTGATTTAATGTGAATGTTACGGGATAAATTCCTCTCCCTTGGTGCTCTTTTGTGATGCAGCGTAATAAATGCTATTGATCCAGCTGTTAGGTAGACAGTCATTCAAGGGAGATACAGGATACCTTTTCAGTTGTGAATGAACATTTTCAAGAGGTGTTTTTTGGGCCTTTGTTAAAGTAACCAGCGGACTCAAAGCTGCAAAACATGTAAGGAGCTTGACTTAACATTCTTTATTCCCCTAAGAAGATCACAACCAATATAGTCTGATTCATTTCATAGCAGTGCTGTTACTACATCGTAAGGCTTCAATTGCTCATAAGATAATATGTATATATAGTATAATGCACATTTAATAATGCTTAAAAGGCGTTATGGACGTATTCTATTACACATTTCTAAAAGAGTAACTTCTGATATGGTACTTTTACCGGACTTCAACAGACACGTGTGCTTCAGTTAGTGACAATTTGAATATCAGGTTTAACAAAAGTTTACTGCTGCAGTTTAAATATGAAGTTCAAAATGTCAATGAGAGGATACAAAAAGTTCAAAGTACAATGGTCCCTGAGAGAAGAGACATGGATGATATATACGAGGATTAGGGACATTAAACGAAGGCGTTCCCCACATTCTCTCAAAGACACTACTTCATTACTGTTCATAAGGATTATTTATTTGTGCATGGTTGATTATAATGTTTGTCACATTATGTCCAATTATCTTATGTATCAGTATTTAACCAAAATTGGCCTTTTCTGTTTAAAACGATGAAATTACCTCTTCGTTTAACTCTAGATGAGTGACATTTCAGACAGTAGGAAGCACACAACCACTGTTCACTAACACAGAATTACCCAGCAGTCTGTTTTGCTCCTTGCTTGTTATGGGATGGCTGTTAACTCGATGTCAAACATATAACACATCAGGTACAATAAACTCTTCTGTGTGCAGATATATATCAATGAGCTCATCATTCTGCTGTGCAGATCTGACAGTACTGACTGACACAACTCTAAATAATCATTTCCTTCCTACAGTCTCCATCTTCTGGTTTATGCATGATGTGATTCACAGCCTGAGTGCTGAGAAGTGCTGAGGTGCCAAAATCACACCAAATAAATAACATTCCTCTAAAAATGAATTCAATCGAGTTGTGGCAAAAAGAAGTATGCGAAGAAAAATAAGGATACGTAATTAAGGCCCACACAGATGCTAAACTGGCATTAGGGTGTGTGTGTGGGGGGGGGGGGGGGTATATTCGTCAAGGTGTCATTCCATTTGTATTTATTTAGGATGAGGATCATCCCACCCAAAGAAAATGTTAGGATATGGATTGTTCACTATGACACGACATATACAGTAGTGTTTCTTTGCCAGAGTAGCATGTCGCTCCATTGCAATCAGTAAAAGTGAGGCCGCCTTTGGGCCAGAATGAAACATGTGACTTAAAATGCCCCCCCCCACCTCCGGTGACTATTGAAGAATAACAATGAGTGCGTCTTCATCGAATTACCTCCAGTCTGTGGATCCGCCACGCCGTGCAGCTCGATCAGAGTTTCCTCCTGCGCCTCTCCCGTTATTCGTCTCATAGCGGCCGGCGGTGTTATTCTCAAAGGCTTCACCTCCTCGCAGGAGCGGGGGGAGGCGGGGGGAGGATGAGCGGCGATGACGACATCGGCGGGATCACACGCGGGACTCGATCAGTGCGATTCACGTCGTCGGACGGAATGCGCGTCGCATGTGTACATCACGGAGGGGTCCTGGAGGAAGGGTTCATACCCTGCTGGGCTCCCTGGCGCTACCCGACGACAGCGGGCACGCATAAAGGGGAGGGTCACGGCTTGTTTTCCGTCGGCAAAATGGCATTTGTGTGCGTGCGCGTGTGTGCGCGTGTGTCTGAGAGAGAGAGGGGGGAGGGAGGGGGGGGTGTAAGTAGATGTTTAAACCTATTTAGCGTGATTAGAAAGGAGAGCGCGTGGTAGAGACGGCAAACAGCAGTAGAGGAGCAGGTCACCTGAGATATTTAAATTTAAAAAAAAAGGAAAACTCCAACACGAGGACACTGACGGTGCAAGAGGACATCTTGTGGCTATTTCCAATACTGCACGCGTCTACTTGATATTGTTAAATTACCTGACGTTTAACAGGAAAGTAAACTATGGTTTCATCATTTTCACGAATGCAAATCGGTACCACATGAGAGATACATGTTTTAAGTATTTTCTAAAAATTTGCTCAGTCAGCTGCTGTTTACTTTTTTCCTCCTCCAGTATTTACCAATCAGTTAATAAAACAGTCATTGAAGGAAAAATACCGCAAGTTAAATCGCCAAAGCAAAATTAATAATTTATTACCCTTTATGATGACGTCGTGACATACGTACCTGCAGACATTTTCATAACCTGGCAACTTAAATGTTCAGTGTTTTATAGGCCTAAGTGATAAAGAACATATGATGTATCAACCAATAAAAACGGTATAAACTAGTAACCCTAAAACCTTAAGTTGAGCAAAATATATTAAGTAAACAGTCTCCCCATCTAAGTGGTCCCTTAGTATTTATTTATTACAACTGACTAGGCACTCACACCATGCAGCTTATTTTGAATTATTCATATACGGCTTGCTCGTGTTCTCCAGCCGGCGGCCAATCAGGGTACTTTCTTGTTGTCTTGAAAACTGCTAACAGTTATGTTTTTTGTAATTAGACCAAATGCTTGGGAACAACTGGTTTACACAATGTGTAAAAGATACAAATTGTATATGAAACTATGTCAGTGTACAATTTAAATCTGAAATGTGTAGTGGAGTAGGCCTACAGGAAAGAAGTATAGCATTACATGGAAGCAATGAGGTCAAATTCATCAAAACAGTGTGCGCTTAAGACCCCACATGCAGGGTACGTCAAGTAGCACAAATGTTCACTAACGTAAAATCACAGACTAAGTTGACATATTAGACTGGATATTGTGTAAAATGGTTATAGATGCCTACAGAGGCCCATAGTAATGTCGTTGTTTCAGGACATCACCGTGGCCATCTTTCTGTATTTTGTGACGTTGAGAGAGAGACTTTATATTATGACAAATATAACTGTCTGTAATAGACTTAATCGCAAAAGTCTAGAAATAATCTGCTTATAGATAATGTATCAATGTATGTATTATGGATCCCTCTGGGTCTGAAATGAATAAATATATATATTGGGCATTGCTCTATGTATATACATATATAAACTACAATGGTTGATCAACCCTAACCTATTCCTAAATATACAGCCAAATGTTGATATAAAGTGTATACAGATTAAAATTATTTAAGGCACTGAAAATATTGAGTTATATATATATATATTTTAGTTTAGTTTAGCATCAAAATGCATATGTCGTCCACAAGGGGGAGATCGTGTACAACTTTAACAACCGCTGCTTTGTTGCAGCTGAGTGCTCGAGGTCTCCCTTGTTTATTTTTCATATTAAATTCACGTGTCGAACCATGAACATAAAAAGATTCCTACTCACAGAATCATATGATAATGTTGTCAAATAATTATGAAAACAATGTATTCTTCAATAAAACAGCTGCCATGTGTCCATTGTGATCCGAATGGTTGTCATGTTGTTTCATCATCTATATATTTGGCTGCCTTGCTCCAATCATTTATCCGGTTTATTGTTAGAAACATTATCAATAGCCTGATATTACATACCATTTCCGTTTGGGACGTCTAAATGAATACAACACATTGATTGGCATCGGCTTAAATGGCACCAGTGTAATGTCTACCCTATGTGTTTAATGGGTTATTGGTAATGGTACCAGTAGTACCAAATCGTGCTGTTTTTACAGGTTTCGCAGTCGGCTCTTTTGTTCCGAGAGCAGATTCAGCCGTGCGTGTGAGCGTGTGAGTGTGTGTGTGTGCGTCAGAGAGAGAGAGAGAGAGAGAGAGAGAGAGAGAGAGAGAGAGAGAGAGGGAGGCTGTCTTTGGGATACAGCACACTGAGTGAGCAGGAGGAGAGCGAGCGGGATGCTGACAAATTCCTGATAGATGGCTAAAATGGCGAAAGTGTGTTCGACCCCGGCGAACCTCCAGACTGTCTAGCCCCTGCTGGCTGGGACATGTCGTAGCGGAAGCTGGATATAGCTCTGTGGGTTTTTGGGGGGTTGTTGTTGTTGTTGTTTTTTTTGGCCCTCTCTCGTCTTCCTCACCTGCACCTTGTCTTTTGCAAGTGCTGGAATATTTCCGATAAGTGTTGACATGGCATCCACCGGGCGCCGCCGCCTTGTTCCGTGCTTTTGGGGAATCCTGGTGAACGCTTTGATCGGTAAGTGGCGTTTAATCTGGTTGCAGGAGAGGATGGGGGGGGTCGCGCTGCGGGGTGTGATCGCGTCCCGGAGGACAACTGCTGCAGGACGCGATAGTCCGCTGCTGACCAGTAACCCTGATCTCGTCTGTCAGGGTTTTCGGCTGGTAATGCCAGTGCGCACTGAGGACTTGTGCACCGGAGTGCGCTGCGGAACGTGTACCTGCGGGTTACTGACTTAACACTCAAAGTTAAATTAGTTGTGCACGCTGCAGAACTTGAGATGTCAAGGTGCCTTTTGAGCGCCCTAATGGTGCACGGTAGCCACGTGCAACGTAGTTGGTAGAGCTTTTAACTTATCGTATCCGAAGAACGTTATTCATTTTATATTGAAAGGTGTTCAATTGGTGCATTGAGTAAGCAACGTTTTTGTGATGACTGCAAACTTTGCAGAAAGTGCTTCGTTTTCCGCTAGTTGTCTTTTAACCAGGTTTCCCAACATGTGATCCCAATAAAAAATGTTATGGCTGCAGATCTAGAGCCACTTTCAGTGTTATTGTTAATCACATGGTCTCAATGTTGCAAAGGCAGCACCCCATTAAGCACTTGTAAGCACCATTACACATGCTTTAATGGAACAGAAGTTTAATGCATATTGCCTTTCGAGTGGCAATTCCATTTCCCCTTAATTAAAAAGTAATCTAAATTGGCTACTACTTATCTCTTCATCACAACTTTAAAAAGTAAAGAGTTTTTTTGCTTCTTCATTTCAGGGGACCTTTAAAGTGATGATGTATTTGATTGGTGAGTCCTTTAAACACACCGCCCTGTGGCCGGTGGAGTTGACAGTGGTTATTTCTCTGAGGGTAGATTAAACGACTGTGGTTATTGCCTGCTGGGGAGAATATTTGAACAGATTAAATGTCAAGGCCGTCCCTGTCCTCCTTTTCAAATTCTCTTTTTTTGCCCCTTTGTTCGCTATGATAGACAGCTTCTCTCTCTTTGCGAGGCCCCTTAATTTAAAGGCAGGGAAGACCATTGCATACAAAGCATACCGCACAGGGACCCGCAATGGCCTCAACTAAAAATCATAAAGGCTAGTAAAGTGTTTCATAATATCTTCAACCAGAGAACTGGGAACAAAAACTTCAGTTCTTTAATGGATGCGGTTCCCATCTAACCAGACCATTAATGTAATGAAGCTCTTTTTGAGTCTGCCTCAGAGATTAGATTTAGTTAGGATGAAGGCACTTTTCATGACATTTTAAGCAAGATTGATGAGAAGTAATACGGAAAATATCCAGTGGTTCTCCTATGGCACAAAGAGCTGAAACCTCATGCAGTCATTCAAAAGAACTCCTAATGTGAAAATATGGGTGAATCAAAGCGCAAAGGTATGCTTTGAAAAGGCAGCAGACGCAAGCATCAATGACGTTTTATGTTAAGAAATTATTTAAAAACCAATGAATTATAATCCAAAACCACCAGTACGTGTTTGGTTTATTCATATTCAGAAATATACTACTAATGAATACTGAGAGGAGAGATTGTAATGTAATCGGGGAACAGCTGCTCTATGTATGTCATATCTATATATATGTCAACACATCCGCTATTTCTCACATTCTCGTGATGCATTTTACTCCCTTTATGCCATACAGTGTTGTATAGGGAGTAAAGGTACAGTTATATGTCATTGCTGTTTAACTTATTATAACAGGTAACTAACCAACCTGAAACTACACACTCATGAGTATTAAGGAAGCAGTCTCACTGGTATTGATTAATACTTTATCAAAGAGATCATTTAGCAGACGCTTTCATCCAAAGCGACTTACATTACACTTGGTTTTTACATTTTGATAATGAAGTCAATGCTGTATGCATGATCTATACACTCCTGTTTCATATATGTCCATATACTAATCTGATACTGATAAAATAGAGGAATATTCTATGGGGGGCGGGCATGATTTTGGTGATATCTATGTATCTTTCTGTACTTACCACTTGTGAAATCTAGTTGGCATGCATCCATGCAGAGGAAGTACAGCCTCCGTTTCCAATCTACAGTTCAGTGAGATTAATGGAGGATGAATTGACAACACTTGTCGAGTGTGGAATACATTTTTTCCCATTCAAATTGAAACAAACCCAACATGGTCCAATTTGCAGCAATCCGTCATAGCAAATTAGATTGGTTATTTAGTGATATGCTGAAGTCATTGTTATGGTGAATATTGTGAGCTGTAACAGATGGACTTTGAGAGAGAAATGGGAGAAAGCAAGTTATTTAGCAATGCAAGCTACATGTGTAGCAATGTACTATTCATATATGCCGTGTACCATTAATAAGATGAGTATACTAAATATAATACATTAACGGCACCATGCAAGAAGCCTACGATGCGTCTCAAGCTCTCTCAGCTCCACCAGAGGTTCTTGTGTGTGTGCTAACTTAGTCTGTTCGTCAGTAGCTGGTTCAGCAGTAAAACTTTGTGCCAGACAGTCACACTTATCTGTCAATATTAAGCCAGAGCATGAGCCACGCTTAGCCAACACTTGTCTCCGGTTTCACCCAGTAATCCAACATGCTGGTGTCTCTTAAGTGTCCTCCTTTCCTCTGCATTATGTGTGTGTGTCTTGTCTCCTTGTCAGGCGTGGACTTTCATGGCGAACATGTGTCTCTGTAGATGTGCTGTGTTCTTGCCGCCAGTTTCCACTGCGGTTCTCTGCTCTCTGCTCACCCTCTGGGTGCTTGGCATTCACTTTTACATTGTGTGAGCTAATGGAAGAAGCTGATTAGCCTAATTGAAGTATAGCGGAAGTACATACAACATCAATAAGGGTGTCTAATCAACTCCAAATCAATGCCGTTGTAACACATTGAACACTCAACTATTATCCTTCTGTTAGCTGCAAGGCGTGAAAACATTGACTGATGCCATTTGACAGCTTTGAAAGCTGTAAATACAAAGCCTCCAATATATCTGTCAATCTGATCTGATGGGAACCACTCGCATGTGTGTTACCTCCTCAAATTTGTCCAGAAGCATTTTGCTCAGTGCATAATGCATTATTATCGGTGCTTCGATCAGAACACAAAGTGTGACTGACTGGATGTGTGGCGGCTCTTTGTATGGTGTTTTCTTCTCTGCTGGATGCTTCTCATGTGAAAACATGTCTTTGTTGGGCCAAAAGAGCTGGAGCTCATGTGGCCGGCATCAGGTTTTGGCAGTGGGATCACTTAGCCTGCCAGCTAAGGGTTAAATATTTCTCCACCGCTAGCCCCTGGTTTTTCACAAGTGGTAGCACTGATGTCTCCCTGGTCCCATGGCCATTTACTCTCGGTGTGCGTTGGTCCTGTGAAGAGAGAAGGGCAAGAAGAGAGGAAGAGGAAACGTGTCTTTGCTTCATGCTCTGTACGTGGTCTTCATGGAGGAGTGTGTCAATGTCTCTGCACCTAATGGGAGGTACTTCTCGGCTGGAATTTTAGGGATGAAGCCGGAGGTTCTCTGTTTTGACCCCTGCGCTTTGCCCCCCCCCGCCCCTCTACCGCCCTGCCTGGCCCCCACTCCCGCCAGATTCCAATGCCTGGGGCCGAGACTGTTAGTGCTTAGTCCATCAGCAGGTGAAACATGACACCGAGAGAGCCCGCTCAGCTCCTCTTTTATAGTACCGAGTCAGGTCAGGCTGTTTACATCCTTTATTTATTGTTCTCCTGCTCCTCCCCCTTTTACCTCAGAAACGGCAAAAAAACAACAAAAAAACAAGGTCCCCTCACGCCAGTAGAACTTTGGAGGCATCGCTGCAACTGCATTCAGTCTCGTGTTATTTCGTGTTGAGTAGTGAAAAAGAACACCGCTACGTGTAGAAGGCCATGCACGTGTGTGTGTGTGTGTGTGTGTGTGTGTGTTTATAACACAATGCAATGGGACCGTGGGCCAGAGGCAGCTCAGTAGAGCCTTTTTATTGGTGAGATGTAAGGACTTGCAATCCGCTAACGGTGAGATGACACAAGTATTCCTCCCCTTTGTTTGGGTGTGGGGGTTGATGTGTAAGTCGCAAGTGCTGCAGTCCTTTGTGACCCTGGACATAGACCCTGGCATGATATGTAAGTTATAAATGGTAAAGGAATGAATAGGTGAAGCATCGGTGTTACGGTTCACGGTCACCAAAGCTAAATACTTGATCTTTTTCTGAAGCATCAATGGAGTTTTACCATGACGACTGACAAAGACGAATAAGATCTTATGTAGCCCCTCTTGTTGATCAAAAAATGAATATTGATATATATGTGTGTGTGTGTGTGTGTCTCTTCAGGTGTGATGTGCGAAGCAGAACTCTCCTTCACACTGGAGCCCAGTGACATCATTGCTGTTCAGCAGCAGCCCCTCATGCTCCACTGCCAAGTGGACGGTATCCCCCCAATCACGACGCAGTGGAGACACAACGGTCTACTTTTAACTCAGGATCAGCATCACACCACCTTCATCAACGGCTCCCTCCTGATCGCTCGCTTCCAGAAGACCAAATCGCATGGCTCCTCCGACGAGGGCGACTACGAGTGCATGGCCCAGAATTTGTTTGGGCTGGTGGTGAGCCGCAAGGCGCGTATTCAGGCAGCCAGTAAGTCTCTTCTTTTGGTCTCTAGTTGATGTAGGATGTGTGACACTCCTTTCCTTTATTTTGATTTTCTACATTAGAGTGGTATCCATCTTTTGTCTAACTCCTAAAAGCAAATTGTCAGTATGTACAGTCATAAAAATATATCATTATAGAGCAATGCAAACCTTAAACAATCCAGTTTCTGTCCATTGCCAGTCGTCAGGGAATTGCTGTGCTGTAAATTCACTCAATTGTCCCAAGTCGTGGAGTTGAATATCATTCTTTGAGTGTAATGAACCTTCTGATGCTCATCTATTTCTGCTTAGAAATTCAAACTCTTGAGTTCAGCATTACCAACTGCTCATGCTGAGATTCTCCAATCTGCTTTGTGAGAATGCAATAAGCTTTAAGCAACTCAGCAGCTCACTCACTGCGGAGGCATCCAGATAATTCTTCATTGGCCTGACCGCCAAATCTCTCATCTGAAGTGATTCTGCTTCAGCATGTTCTTTAGCACTGTTGCCATGGCTCATTTACATTTCCATCATATCAGAGTCAATATGACTGTCCGCACTCCGTCTTCTCTTTGCTCTCACACATATAAAGTGCACGTCTCGGCTTACCTTAAATCAAAGGCATCATTGATGTCGGCTTTAGTGCCACTCTACTGTTAGACACTGTGTTGAGTTAAGACCCTTTCGAAGGCTTTGTTATATACACTCTGTAAACCAGAGATGGACAAAGGCTTGCAGAAGCCTGTTGATTCCCGGCCTGTGTGTAGACGGCTCACCGCTGTGCTGTTGTGACCAGTACAGCTTTTCCACTCAGCAGGATGGGGAGGTCAGCACGGATGTCTCACCGGCCAAAGGGAAAAGTCACTGCAGCTCAGTGGCGGGCCGCTGTCAAACACATGCAACCTTTTGAGGTCTCCCTTTCTTTTTCTACGGTCAGATTTGAGCAGCTATTGAATTGCATTTTTTTCTTTGTGAGGTTAGTCTGTTATGGTCCCCCATCATTTTAAATTCACAGAATTGCTTTGACATATTGTAGTAGTGAGAAAGCATGAGGCAGGCATGACTTTAACATGTGATAACAAGGTGTTAAGGGCTCTCTTGGTATCATGTTTCACTTGTTCACAGAACATTTTTTTAATCCGAGGGAGCAGATTGATTGACACATTGATCAAAATGGGCTTTGAGTTGCAATTTTAAGTCGGTGTATACTTAAGGTTTTGTAAAGAATTTAAGCAGTATACGTCTGCCTCAAAGATAGTTTATTGACGTGAGTCTGCAAAACCTGAGACGGGGGCGTATATTCTGGTGAGAATAGTGTAATTCCAGGATGTCATGCACTGAATTTTGAAAATGTGTGGACTTGATTTGAGGTTTTCATTGCATTGCAGCATCTTCTTTTTAAGTCACAATTAAAAAAGAAGAAGTGGGTCATTGAGGAGGCCTCCTTTCTACCTTTAGCTGTCGTAGTGAACTACCAGGCTGAACCAGCAGCCTCGAGCTTCAGTGCAGAAGTGACTATTTTTGGTCTTATTTATATAAGATCTGTGAGGTGCTTGATCGTCGATGCAAAGGGGATTCCACATGGATTTGTGTTATCCTCCTCTGGCCGACCAGACTTCTTTATTGATTGAAAATCATTTTCAAAAGAATGCTTTTTCATTTCTTTTTTGCAGAGAAATGGCCCGAATCTAGTTAATACTCTTCTTACAAAGATCACTAACTAGTGTTTGTTTCTTTTCTTTTCACTGTTTGTTAATGTTGATGTTTTCTTTATGTTTTTGAGGTAATTTGCTGTGTCATAGTCCTTCTTACAGCTCAACAGCTGTGACTTGTACCACTGTGATGCAATGGGTGGTGAGATTACTCTTTACAGCCCTCCCAGTGGATAAAGCATCTATCTCACCCTCCACAATACCTCCCTCCATAAATACCACTTTTTATTTGCTTGACAACCATTTATGTGAGCTCACCGTCGGAGGGCTTGTATAGGACGGACTCCCCGTTGCTCCTCTAAAGCGGGAGTCGGTCTAGGAAACTCTTTTTTTCTCCCTAAATGTTATCTCTTTGATGGTCAGCTTCACTCTCTCTGTCACCCTCCCTCTCTTTCTCCCTCTTTCTCTCTCTCCCTTTCCCTCTCTTTCGCTTTCCCTCTCTTTCCCCCTCGTTCTCTCTCTCCTTCCTCATTTTCTCCAGGGCCTCCTCATTAGCTTACGTTCAGGAAGCTTTTCATCATTTGAATGAATGACAATCCTGGTACAGTGGGCCTGGACGGGGTTTCCGCCCCTCCCCCACAGAACACCGGCGTCACCAGGCAACACACCACAAAAGGCCCCTTGTTACAAAATAGCTTTTAGGATCAATTGGAATGACTCGCTTTTGTCTATTTGTCTGGAATTAATTGGAAAAATTTCAAGTTTTCTTCAGAATTATTTCCCCCCCCATTCCTGTGCATATGTGTAGACATATTGGGGACCATTCGGAAATGATTGGAAAAGGAAAAGCCTCAACCAACATGAGGAGAGGGGGAGATGCAATTAAGGCATGTTCCATAATTGGGCATTATCTGTGTTATTTATTTTATTGACTAATTTGGCAATACATAGACACCGTGGTTCTGAAATGCTCATGGGCAATTTAATTGCCATTATAATGGTAGGCTCTTGAATGAGACTTTAATGAAAGCAAATTAAAAAAACGGAGTGGATTTAATAGGAGAAGAAACTTGATGCCCGTAAAAGGGTCTCTCGTGTAAATGTATCTTTTGTCAACGCTGCGAATGCAAATTTATACAGTATATATATAAAGTGGGGTATCGACCGCGTCCAATAGAAACTACATGTGTGTCTGTGGCAGAAGATGACAACTTGCAATATGCTACACATCAAACTAGCTGGATGGATGGCCACTAGCAGCTACTCAGAATCCGACAGCAGTTACTGAGAGTGATTTGTGCGGCGCTCCTGTTAGTGTTTGTGCGTGTGCATGTGTTTGGAGGGTCGACGGTGGCTCTCCATCACCCTCCGACCTGCCTGTCCCTATACCCCTTTTATGGCCTCCCGCCTGGGTGAATGCTGAAGCGCTATCCCCACATCTCCTTGTAGCTCCCTTTGTCTGCCAAACCCCGCCCTCGATCTGCCCCCCCCTCCTCCTCCTACCCATGCTCTTCTCTGCTCGCTTGCCACGAAGCGAGTCATCTCTCTGTCATATAGATTAGCCAACTAAATGCCATATACGCTTTGACATTTCAACATGAAGCCTCGCAGTGTTTTCTTTTCATCTTTGCAAAATCAAGATTAGTTATTGCAGCGGTGAACTGCATTATTGACATTGCACCATTAGTAACCCTCATTTAATGGGGTTTTGGGGGGAAAGCGGAATGGGAAAACGTCACAGAGCAAATACACAATAGTCTGTTAGGGTCCTCTTGCTGATATAAGTCCTCCCAGAGATCCCTCTGTCATGAAAACATTGCGTTAGCAGTAGTGCGGACATGGCTTGTGAGTGCCCTGTTCATTCCTTAAAGCAGGTATGCTGCCGATGTTAAACCAGAATGTTCCCTCCTGCTGTGTAGTCAGCGGCCCTCCATCTGTCCGCCAATGTGTCAGATGGATTAAGGAAGAAAGGAATCTTCTGTTCTTTTTTCTGCTGCACCGATGAGGTGTGCAGAAAGGATGCGAACTCTGACCTCTGCTGTGTAGTTACGTCTAAAATTGGTTTATCACTGTACACCTCCAGACTAAATGCTGAGATCTCATTGCCTGAGAGGCTAGTTCAGTTGATTAAGAATTAACTACAGTGTGTAATACATGTATCAAGCAGCAGCAGCGACCAGCCTTTCAGAAGGCATTCTAAGCAGGTCCCTTTTCTATACTCTGTTTTAGGGTAAACAACTGTGTCATTGTCTCCCTTAGTCTCTCTCTCTCTCTCTCTCTCTCTCTCTCTCTCTCTCCCTCCCTCCCTCCCTCTTCCTCCCATGCCTACGAAGATGCTGTTATTCCTCTATTGGTTGCTTTATGCTCAGGGAGGTGTATAAACATACTTGAATGTCAAATCTGAATATTTGTATATTCAGATTATCTATTGTATGTACAAATGACCTTAATGCAGTGTAAAATCTCCAAGGGATCTGATACTGCTCATAGTATTATTGTTTTAGTTAACTGTATGTATTTTTACTGCAGTGAAATGGGGGATGAGATGTGAAATTCTTCTATGGTATTTATCCAAATCATTCCCGACAGTTGTAGTAAATGATGTAATGTAGCCTATTTACATTTTATAACAATATTAAATATGTGGCATGGCTGGAAACGAAAAGCGCATGCACCATAACCTGGTTTGTGAGAATTGTATTTATTTAATCCTCCTACACCTCTAAATGTCAAGAACAAATAGTTATTTCAATAAAATCAGGAGCAGATTGGTTACTGGCGTGCTCACATTTCGAGCTATGCTGAGAGAACTCTACATAGCACAGAGATGCTTGAAGAGGTATAACCATCCCCTCCTAGATGGAACTGCCTCTTAATATGAGGGATGAGCTGCTGTGATAAGAGGGCAGCCTTAAGCACTAAAAATATCTACCTGTGAAAAAACAGCATCACTTGGTGAATAAAGACATTAAACAGGCAAAGGAACACCGAAGAGTGGTGTGCTAACGGGGTGATGAAAATATCGAACTGCTCAAAATAGCATTTTGCTTATTCCTCTAGGTGCACATGGCTTTAAACCTGCTCATGGCTTTCTCAGAGTGATATAACAGCCACTATAATCATGTTATGTTTATCGAGCGCTTTAAAAAAATGCAGGTATGTGCACAAAAATTGCATACGGGTGAGGAAATAAAATGTATGTTGACGGGCTTCATTTAGGTCAGGAAACATGTGTATCGCCCTTCGATCACCAACATCATGCAGTGCAGTGCAGTTATTTAGTATTTGCTTCAATATTTTTCAATTTTCATAATTTGATTGGGTTTTTTTTTATAGTATTTTTTAGAAATTGAAA